AGCTATAGCTAAACTCCTTAAAAGGGGTTATATAGGGGATTATATAGGGAATTACTATAGGGGTTATTAAGGGGGATACTAGGAGTTTAGACAGTAGCTCACATGGCTTTCTAGTAAATTTTAGGGTTACCTCATAGGAACTTGGGTTTAAGTTCCTTAACAGCAACCCAGTCAAGGGGGAGGGGATGAGTGTACATAGCAACTTCTTGAGCCGACGGACTGGTCAAAGCTGGATCGTCCGCGGGTCCACAACGCCCCATCGCTTGAAAACTGGCAGGGTTTGAGGTTTCACGGTTTAGGTTTCAGGGTTTAGGGTTCTACGGTTTAGGTTTTGGGGTTTAGTGAGTCAGGGTTTAGGTTTTAGGGGTTTGGGCGTTTAGAGGTTAGGCTTTGGGCCCTTGATTTCAGAAGTCTGGAGCTCAGGATTTAGGCCGCTGATTCAAGTTTTAGGGTCTTGGGACAGGCTTCTTAGGCAAGGAAGAGAGTCTAGGTCGAGTGTTGCGGGGTGTTTGAAAACAGAGACACGCTGGACCCTTTTGAAATCATAGTGATTGAAATGAGCCACAATCTAAACTCCTAGTATCCCCCTTGATACCCCCTATAGTAGTGCCCTATACAGTTGTCACAGGCCAATACCTTCAGTGCCAGAAAGCATCAAATCCCATTCCTGCACCCCCAATTTCCTCACAGTGCCCAAGAGTCTCAGTGTCAGAATTAATGAAATCCCGCACCCGTGTCCCATATTTTCTCACAGCCCAATAATAAGTTCACAGCCAGAATAAGATCCTTTAGCTGCATCCCACATTTTCTCGCATCAAGTCCCTTACCTGCGTCAGAAATTGACTCACGGAGCCCAATACATTCACCATGGAAGTTTCTCGAAGCCCTGGGTCCCTAGTTGGAGTCCTTATGCTCAAGACGCGGCAGGACTATTCAATTTTGGGAGGTGCTGCGATCTTTATATATGTCTCTCTCTCTCTCTCTCTGTCTCTATCTCCTTCTCCCCTCCTCCGTATCTATACATCACATAATATATGTAGAGGGAGAGACCATAGAGGGACCTTAGTTTTGAGGAAAGCACATCCAGCCTGACATGTCAGGCTGTGCAAGTTTGACGGCGAAGACACGCGGCTAATGAGGTGGATGCGCACAAGATGCGTAGAAGCCCATTGGAGTCGTATTGTTAGTGGAGATATTATAGTCCTGAAAATAGACTAAGATTATGTCCTTCATTGGGTTATAGTATCATCTTACTTGGGTTCAAACACAAAATCGCTATGCCGTTGCCCATAATGACTTGATCTTTATTGGTTCCCATTTAAAAAGCCAATGATCGCCTCCCAAAGTACAGGTTGCCTTAGATTCCCGAAGACTTGTGGGGATGACAAAGAGATTACAGTGCCCGCTTGAGAGGTTATGTGAGGATCTGTTTGCGAGGCGCCAGTACCAGCTACAATCCAGGAGCCCACTTCACAAGCAACTGTTTTTGGTGAAGATCATGCAGTCTCAACCTGGCGAGGGCGGCCAAAAGTTGTTAGTATCTTTCTAGTTCCGAAACTTAATCAAGCAATGCAACATGATAAGTTTAAGTAGTAGCCCATTAACAAGGAGCCATGCTATGTGAATTTTGAAAAAAACCGCATGCACAGCAACTCCGAATCCAAGAGCCTCAGCCCCCTGGAGTGGACTCAGCCCGTGTCTCCCTCCTAGGCTCAAAGGCTTCGAACATGACACCACTTTGCCAATTTTTCTTCAGAGGGTCCCAAGACAGTCTGATCGCAGCTCAACATAGAACAGCTTTGCCCACTTTCTTCAGAGTTCCAAGGGGTCCAGCCACAGCAGCAGCATCACGGAATCGCATGGATTCAGCGTTCCAGGAAATTGATGACCGGCTTTCCGACTGCTGGAATACATGCGTGCCAGATTCTCCTGCAGCGTTCTCCGGTACACCGCCCCCGAAAGAATCCCGTTTCATTTCATTATCCTGCACCGCCTTGTTCCAGATCCCCCTTTAGCTCCAAGACCCACGACTCAAGCCCCAAGCCCCAACAAGACCACAGGGGCTGAAAACGGATGGGGGGGTGAGCGCTGCTGAGAACCCTGAATTAGTAGTTCATACTAATTCCTGTTCCCAGAATGGCCATTGTGGAAAATCATCTCCTCTATACTTGTCATTATAGACCTAGACATTCCATAGACCCTAAACCTCTAAACCCTACACCCTAAACCCCTACACCCTCTGTACCCTAAAGCCCTGTTGCAAACCCTAAGCCCCAAAAACTTAAAGGACTTTTAGATCACTAGGGTCAGCCTCGAAAGGTCCAGAGAGTTCCACCAGATCGCGGGTAGAGCTGGCAGGTGCCATGCTTTGCATCTTCTTAGGATCTGGGCTATAGTTTAGGTGGACCCCCCACCCAGCAAGGGGATAATAGGGATTATACTATGGTAGCCTTATATTCCTATTATACCACTATTAGACGGTGGGGGGTCCTCCTAAGCTATAGTAAAACTCTTTTTGTTATAGGGAGCAGTATAGGGTTAATTCAGGGGATACTAGGAGTTTAGACAACGGCTCCTTCGGGCCTTAGGGTGGATATTCAAAGTCCTGCATGACCCTTGGTTCCTTATCCTTGGAGAATTATGATATTACAGTATATTGGCGCAAAGCAGATTTTTTAGTATCAACATTAGGGTGCATGGTCTAGGAATTAGGGTTGAGGCTTCGGGGAGGATTCGGGATTTCGGGCGTAGGGTTAGGGATTGGGGTTAGGTCTGAGGAAAATGGGGGGGTAAAGCCTAGAGCGCGGAAAGTTGGAGTCTAGAGACTTTGTAGTAGGGCTCAAAGGGTTCAAGACTTTGGCTTTAGAGGTGTGGGGGCTAGGGACGAAGTAGGGATCATGGGGTGGACCCTCCAATGTAGTTCCTTTTTGGGTTTGGTATTCTTTGGTTAGGACTCTTATTATAAGACTACCAAAAGGTACTACATTGGAGGGTCTAGCATCCCTAAGGATGAGTTTCTGACTGCGAGGGGTAGGCGTAGACTAGATTCGGCCTCTGAGCTTGTCCGAGAGGCAGAGGCGCCTTTGGGTTGGCATCAGATGCTTGTGAACCATGCTCCGAAAACATCCTGGTGGTTATTACAGTAGGGAATAAGGGAATGTATCGTGTAGGGATTGTATTCCTTTATTCCCTACTAAAAACCAGTAAGTCTGAAGTTTAGGGTTTGGGGGTTAAGGGTTTAGGGAAGAAGTTTTCAAATTACTTCACCTGAAGGGTCCAAGTACCCGAGAATCACGTACTTGAGATTTGGCCATACTAATTCCAGTGCAGGCTTTATGATTATGAAGTATTTGGACCCTTAGGGCGAGTGTGGTAGGGGTTGAAGGCTGCAGGGATAAGGTAAGAGCTTCTGGAGATTTGCGGCGCATGGGCAGTCTGAGGCTGATGGGCGCAAAACCCGAAAGGGTTGAGGAGCATAAGTGCCTTTGAGGGGTTGGACTACTTGGAATTTCGATTTAGGAAGTTGGCGTTGAAGGCTATGGGCTTAGGATCTCAGGCTCAGGATCAGTGGACTAGTAGTTTAGACTCTATATATATATATGTATATATATATATTTATATGTGTACAGCCTTGTGCGCTCGTGTCCGAGTAGGAGTCTAGGCGAAGGGGCACACGTGCACTTCTGTGGAGCAAGCTGGATGTGCGGGCGTCCTGTTGAGGATGGCAGTCTGCAGGCGGACAATGCCACAGACACCATTCAAGGTATATGGCAACATGGTAGTTTCCCAAAATAGGAGGACCCCAAAATAGACCCCAAAATGCTATAGTCCTTATTATCGGGATC